CCCCGCTCTCCCTGCCTGGCCTTGGACCCTGCTGCCGACAAACCCCCCGGAGCCTCCCCCTGACCCCTCCGGCTGCACCCCAAATTCAGCTGCACCCCCATCCCACCGCTCCCCCCTCCCCTCTGGCAGCTTGAGCATCGAGGACTCTGTTTAGCATCAAGGGATGGTGGGGCAGGGGGGGTCAGGAAGGGACATTTAGTTCTCCAGACACTGGCACATCGCTGCGAAAAGACTAAAATAGACCTAAATTTATAGAGGTTTAAAAAAATAACTCAGGAGGCAAACTCGCTACCTTTGGAGGGGGGGAGGTCGCTGTACAGAGCCTGTCGGGAATCGCTCACTGGGGCAAACGTCGCCGTGAAGAAGTGCTTTAGGGAACGATGGCGATTCCTGTATATATATATAAAATTATTTTTTTTTTCTCCCCGCAGGGAGCGCGTCCTCTGATTATCTCTAAGCAAATGTGCGTTACCCTGCTCGCTTCCCAAAAGCCGTCCTGCCCTCCTGCACCATTGCACCCACTTGTCCCCGGCCCCAGCCCGCCACGGGGTTCAATCCCGAGGCTGGATCAGAAAAATCCTCATTTTTCCTGCTTTTGGGCAGTTTTCCCTCCTCTCCTTGCTGCTGTGCAGCGGGGAAGGATTTGCAGCTTTTTCTTGCAGTAGGAGGGACGGTTTCACCCGCTGCGGGGGTTATTTTGCCTTCCGCCAATGGGGAAGGTCGTGCATCGCTTGCAGCAACACCCCACGATGCTTTGCTCACAACAAACCATATCTGGTTGCTAAAATCTCCCTGTTTTTGTTTTTTTTTTTTCTTCTTGTTTTAAAGCATTTTGTCATTTGGCACACCGATCCCCCAATACTTTCGCTCCTCCCCAACCCGCAGGTTTTCAACCCGAAATGAGAGGATGAAGCGATGTGCCGGCTCTTGGGGTGGGCTCCTCTAAGAGCCAAGAGAAAACATTGTTCAACTGCTTTAAGAGCCTTTATCAACACTTTTCATGAATATTTTTCCTTGTTTTTTAACAAATTCGGGGCCTTTTGGAGGATCCAAACAAGCCCCAGCTGTGGCTGTTCCTTGGGAGGGTGACACAGGGCGAGAGGTGGGATTTTTTTTTTCTTGCTTTCTTTACTCAATAAAGAAGTTTAAAAACCTCCTTGGATGGAGCCAGCTGGGGGAGTTCCCCCTTTCCTGGAGACCTTACATCCCAGGGCCCCCCCCAGACTGGGGGCACTGGGATGAAGGCGGGAGGAGCTGGTCCCCGGAGCATCCTTGACTCTTGGGGGGCTCGGAGCTGGCTAACGAGCAAAATCCAATATATGAATGAGACAGAAAAACATGGATTTGGGATAAATTTGGCCCCCAAGCTGGCTTTGCTGGTGGTGTTCCTCTTGAGATCCCAGACCAGCACCCAAATTCAAGCGAAGGGGAAAGCCATGAGTGTTGGCCATGGGGAAAATCTGAGCAAACTCGCTAGGAAAGGAATAAATTCCCCCAAAACTCATCCCGTGGGAACCAGACCTACCAGTTCTTGCCATCACCATGACCTCGAGCGAAAGCTGCTGATGCCACCCCAGGCTGGGTGGCTTTGCCCTGGTTTTTGCTGGGGATTGTCATTGCAGAGCCCTGCTGGGGCTTCTCTAGGGGCTAGTATGGGGTTGAGCTCGCACTGAAGCTGTCCCTTCCCTACCGGCACTGGAAAACCCTGCGTCATCTCAAGGGATTTGGTATTTCTGTGTGTCTCCATCATTTCCAGAGGAAACAGGGTTGAAACCCCACGAGCGATGCGGTGAATCCTACGGCATCATCTGAGCATCCCGTAGGGATGGGGGGGGGGTTGTGGGGCCACGTGCTGGCAGGATGGGGAGGGAAAGCAGCTGGGAAACCATCAATACGACATTGGGGCAGAAACATGGAGCTGTTAATGAGTGCGTTGCCATTAACAACCTGGGCAATTACGAGCCACCAGGAGGGGCAAGGAGACGCAGGGCTCTCGTTACCACCCAGCCCCTGGCACTGTGCCACCCACCTTCATCCCCAGCCGCGGAGGAGGAGGAGAAGGAGGGGACCCATCCAAGCCCAGGCAAAATGAGGAAAAAACCCCACTTTCCATCTACTCCTTGAACCTGCTCAAGGTCTTGCATCATCACAGGATTTTTGTAAAAACGTGGCTTTGCTAAGCCGGACTTTCTGGGAATGCCCCAAGGGGAGGCGGATGGTTTGGTCTGGTCTTGGTGACACACCGAAGCACCAAATTGGGGTGAGGTTGTCCTGCCGTGACTTACAAAACCCTGATGGCAGTGGGGGGATGGTGACATCAGCCACCCACCCACCCATGCTCCACACCACCGCGGCCACCAACCATGTGGCCAACCAACATGGCCAACCAACACTGCTCCAGCCTCACCAGTGAGCGCAGAAGGTTTCTCCAGGAGTCCTCAACATCTCCCCTGGCTCTCCACCACCCCGTCTTCTCCGGAGGATCCAGGTGAGGGGCTGGACATGGGCCAGCAGCAAACCTGGAGCAACCACCTTCAGTCTTGGGACACGACTCTCCAACACGATAGTCTTTAAGCATAGAGTGTACAAACGTGCTGAGTATATAATTTTCCTTTAAAATCTTTTTTTCTTCTTTTCTTTATAGAAATAAATTTTTTATTTTTTTTTTTTAAGGGAAGTCTCTGCGCCATTTCGGATGGTGACACCTCCTCGGGGACCATGCTCATGGGATGGTGGCTGGATGGTTGCCGGGGGGTTGTAGCTTTGCTGGGTGGTTTTTTTGCTGGTTGGGGCATCCCTTGCTCCTCTTGCCCCCGGATTACGCGTCTCTCAGCCTCCCCAGGGTGGAGGTAAACCCACGGCGGGGAGCTCATCTGATGCTGCCCATGGGGCCATGGTGGGATGCGCTAATTTCTCGCAGGTGGTTTTTTTTGGGTTCTTGTATTTTGTGCATATGGGAAACAGCCTTCTCCTGGAAAGCTGCCATCAGCGGGGGGACGGAGGTGCTTCAGATGGGGGGTTATGGCCAAAAAACCTTACCCTGCTTCAGAAGAGACGGCGTAGACAGGATGAGGGGTGGAAGGAAAGGTCTCCTGAGGTGCTCTCTAGGGTTGGAGACCCAGGAGCTGCCTCCAGCCCACCATCAGCTTCAGCGATTTGGAATAAATTTTATTTTCTATAGTGATCCCCGTGGGCTCTTGGCATGCTGGGAGCCCCCAGCTGAGGTCTGCAGCTCTTGTGATGTGGATGAGGAAGGTGGAACCAGGAGGTTCTCCATCCTGGAGGGATACTCCATGGCAGCCCATCACCTGGGAGGGTTGGAGGAAGGGGAGATGACCTGGGAAGGGCTGTCACCTCACAGCCACGCTGGGAACAGACACCAAAACCTCTCATGATGGCCCAGAGGAGATGACAAACCTGCAAAATTTGTTCTTCCCCATTGGATCCTCTCAGCTCAGCATGTTGGGTCCCATCACGCCTGGTTGGGGCTGGGGGTGGCAGGGGGCTGTGGTTACGGCCGGCGTGTCCCTGCTGCTGGCAGTGTGGTGACGGGTGTCCCCCGTGGTGTGGGCACCTCCTGGCACCTTCTCCCCAGGGTGGAGGATGGAGACATTCTGGATGCCTATCAAAAGCCTTTTCCTTTGGAAAGATGGGGATGGTGATGTCCTTGCAGGCAGAACACAACCAGAAGAAAAAAGCAGAATTAAAAAACCAGCCGTGGCCATATAGGTAAGGGATCTTCCAGGGCAGTTGGGTTGGTGCTTTCACCAGAAGCTTTGGATTTCAGGACAATTTGGCCAAGGTGTCTCCTTCAGGCTGCTCAGGAAGGCGATGGGATGGCAAATGTGGGTGTCCCGTGCCAGTCCCTCTCTCTGCGTGGGACAACTCGCCCCAGAGGAAATCTGAGCGGGTGGTGGATGTTGGTGGGGACAGAAGCGTGACCCATGTCTCCTGGTGGACGAGGATTTTGGAGATGGTTTATTGCCTTGGCAGGAAGGTTTGGATGGAGCGGAGGTGAGGCTGGAGACCTCTGGAAGAGCAACCATCTCTCCTGGTGTCCTCTGGTTCCTGCAGTCCCCAAGATGCAGCTCTGCCATCCGGGCTTGGGCTGTCGCAGCTGCTGGTTTCTGGGCAGAATTTACCCAGGTTTGGGTGCCCCTCTGGTAAATAAATGAAATGGAAACAAGCGGAAACCCTGCAGGAACGCTGGGCAGCCTTTCCTCTGGAGGAACATCCCCTTCCCACCCCACCTTCACCAGCCCACCAAGAGGATGGGGACGGTCCAGCCATGACACAGCGACGCCGAGCCCAGCCCTCTGCAAAGAGCCCATGGGGACGGACGGAGCCATCCTCAGCTCCCACACCACCAAACAGCCAAAAAAAAAATACCCCAGAAAGAGAGTTTGAAGAAAAAGACATTCCCCAAAGAAGGATCCTTGGCAACAAGCAGCCGTGGGGGGATTCGAAGCCATCTTCCCTCCCGAGAGAGAACGTAGCCCTGCCTCCTCGTGCAGCCAAAAAATTGTCCTTAAGTAGCACCTTCTCGCCCGCGAGCTGGCCCCGGGGACGAGCGCCGGCTGCCAGTCACTAAGGCCTGCAAGAGTTTGGGGGTTTTTTTGTGCATTGGCCGGTGTCTCCGTTGCTCCAGGTCCAGCAACGGATGAGCGGTGGATGGTGGGTTTGGTTTCTCAGGGCCTCTGGCTCCGCCGGGCAGAGGAAGGAATGTGCTTTGTGGTTCCCTGAAGGTCTAACAGCCTCCTTCCACCTTGATGTGTAAAATCTTGGAGAAGCCAGGTCGCTTCCTCAGGGCCTGGAAGAGGAACAGGGAGCGTGGTTGGTGTGGGACCTGGCAGAACATCTCAAATCATAGAATCATAGAATCACAGAATGGTTTGGGTTGGAAGGGACCTTCAAGATCATCTGGTTCCAACCCTCCTGCCATGGTGGTGGGCAGCCATGCAAAGAAACCCCTTCTGAAACGCCTCTTCTCTGAAGGTGACCCCCAGCCTGGGGTTGGACATGGGTCTAGCAGGACCCACGTGAGCCATCAGACCCCACCTGACTGTACTGGTGGGCCTCCATCCTCACGTCCTCCTCTGCATCTCATGGGAGTTTTTGGCTTATGACCCTACGGGAGCCCAACCCGCTGCAGGATGAATCAGCTGGAGAACGAAGTGAAATGGAAACACCTATTTTTCCCCTTGGACATGGATGGAGATGTCTGCCTTGGAGACCCTGAAGAGATCAAGGACAGCCCAAGCCCTGCTGAGCATCACAAGCCAAGCAGGGTCTGGAACTCAGCTTAACTAAAACCAACCCTATTTCTGCTTTCACGGGTGGATTTTCAATCACTTGGTGGAATTTGGTGAGTAAGTTGACCTGTGAGGGATGCAACGGCCCTTTTCTGTCCCTGGGGAACAGACCCACAGAGAAGCAGACCCCATGGAGACATGAGACTGGTGACACATGGGTGACCTGTGAATGACTTTACCTGGAGCTTGTTCACCATTTCTTCAAACATCTTCTTGGCTTCAGGGCTATGGGGCTCCTTGAAGTAGTCCACGATGCCCACCTGCACGACGATGGACTTCAGGTTCCGGCACACACCTGGGGGTAGAGATACCACCTGGCCTCACCATACCTGGTGGGGAGACAACCTCCCCGCAGCTGGCATGGACCCTAAAACCCACCCAGTACTCCTCAAGGCCTTACGCATCTGGGGCAACCTGACCCTGAAGATGGAGGAGACCCACTCGTGGTGACCAAGACCTCTGTAGGGAGGATGGTGGTCCATGAGATGGTTGCTGGTTGACTTATCCCCATTCAGCAGTCCTACCTCTTCCTTGGGGAACCCTTACCACCCCAGTGACATGTGCCATGACCACCAGCAATGGCACCTCAGACAGACTCTTCCACCATGGAGCTCCCAGCGCCTTCCAGTGTTGGCAGCAGGTTCCTGTGGGTGGGGCTGGAAGGCAGGGTCTGGTTCATGGACCTGGATATCTGGTGACCTTTTGGTCAATGGACGATGCTACGCACTCCCCCCGGCATTGCTACTCACTGTTGAAGTGCAGCAGGGCTTTGGGAGTGACGGGCGTGGAGGTCAGCACTAGCATCTCCAGCCCCTTCAGCCCCTCTCGACACACCTCCGCTGCAACCTCCTGGTTGATCTCTGCCACATGGTCCAGCTCCAGGACCTGAAGCCGCATGCAGTTTCGGGCTGGAAGGACAGAGCACCCGCTGTCAGCACCCCACGGGGAAGGGATGAGGACAGCCGATGGGAACAGGGTGGGAGGAGGGATGGGTGTCAGCAAGGAAGGGCAGGGTGCACCCATGGTCTTTGGGGTTGACTTCTCCATTGAGATCCCCATGGGGCATCTCATAGGGGTATACCTAAGAACGTCCCCTTCTCCTTGTCCCACCAGAGGAGAGCTGCCTACCTAAGGACGCCAGTCCTTGGACGCCACAGCCAGCCCCTCCAACGCCCAGCGCCCGCAGGTGTGGCCAGCACCGTCCGATCATCTGAAGGCAGCGGTTGCTGAAACGTGTTGGCTGCTGGCTGGGGAGATGAAGAAGAAAGAGCTGGGGAGGGGCTGGAAGAAAAACTCACCCCCCACCATGAATGCTCCAGCCAGTGGTGTTGAGGATGGGACCTCTCCCACCCCACCAGCCCAGGGGTCACCACGCTGCAGGGAGGTGTCTCCAGAGCAGATGTCTCCATCTGAGCACCCACCCTGGGCTGTGCTGCAACTGGGACAGGGCAAGTCCATGTGCCCAGTGGAGTACCTCTGCCCCAAACCCTCCACCTTTGGAGATCTGAATCAGGCCCTGAACTCTGTTCCTTGCGGTGATCACAGCAGTAGCAGGAGCCTGGACCTCTAGCTCAGGTGGAGAAGCCTACATGCCATGTGGTGTTTCCCCCAGGGAAGAAACAAGCCACCCAGGGACTTGACATCCAACTTCTCCTGCTAAGAGACATCTGTACACCTCGATCCAGGCAGGACGGGGGACATGACATTGCAACGAACCTCCCAGGACAAGAAGAAACGCCCAGGAGGCAGCTCCACGGCATGGAGATGAGGAGCCAAGGGACCTGCTTTGTGAGCCATGAACTCCTGAGCACCCAGATGTTTTGGGGTGGACATCCACCAGCATCTTCATGCCCCCAAAATGCTTTTTCCAGCCTTTGCAGGGAGGGACGGGGCTGAGCTCCCGGTCCCCCAGAACTGGCCTCCAGGATTGCTGCTCATCCCATGAGGATCCCCCACAAGCAAATCTGGATCTGTGCCCCCTCACACTCAGCCTGACCTCCTCCTAACGTCATTCTTACCACGGATGCAGAGGTGCAACCTGGAGGGAGATGATGTCCCTGCAACCTGCTCCAAGGGCCCAGATGACTTCATGACCCACGGGGTCTGTAGAGCTCCTGGAACAACACAAAGCACACGTGGTGGCCCCCACCAGCAGTGATGCCACCTTGGCGGGGGGGACTGCATCTGTAGCCTCCATGCTGCTACATCTCTCTGCACCTGGAGGTACAAATCTGGTCATTATTTCTAACCCACCATCTGCCCATGAACCAGATAGTCCCAACCAACACCAACCCATGCAGGAACTGGAATTGTGCCTACGGGTGTGCAGTGTCAAGAAAAATGGAAGAAGATGAGGCTGAAGGTGAGGCTGAAGATGAGTTTGGAGGTAAGGCTGAAGGTGAGGTTGATGGTTGGAGGTGAGGATGAAGGTGAAGGCAGAAGTCTCCCAAATGCAAAGGTGGGAAGTGATTGAACTGAGACCACCAGGCCATGTACCCTTGCAGAGCAAATACAACGTCCCTGCAGATCCCATTGTGTTGGATTCACTTGCCACCTGCCCAGCCTGGATGGGGAAGGTGCCAGGAGGTGGTAAGGAGGTTTCAGCTGATGGATGGTAACTTCCAGCCAAGGCAAGTGGCTGCTCCATGGCCTCTGTACCAGCTCTGTGGTTGTGCCGCCGCATCTGGAGGCGGCTGTTGGCCAAATGTTGCCCCAGAGGTTTGTTGTGGGCTTCTCCTTGGTCTTCTTGGAGGTACCAAAACAGATCTCATGGGATGCAGCTGGGTTCGTGCAGGGGCATAGTGGAGGTGTAGGTTTGTCATGAGTCATGGCACTGATGGTGGCACCTGGTGTTTGTGCCAGTGGCTCAGAGGAGCTTTTGCTGATGCCATCAGCTCCCAGAACCAAGTCAATGGAGAAGAGATGTCAGAGAGCATCATCCTGATGCCACCGGCCCAAACAGAGGCTCCTGGCTGTTCCACCGCACCGGGCTGCCTCCTGAAGACTGAGGCCGCACTTCCTAGCTCTAAATGACCTACTTCAGAACTTCAGGCAAGCCTAAAAATAAGTGGTGGGTGTTATCTTGAGCGTTTCACACATCTCCACTGAAGATGCCTGCCAAGAGCCCCCTGCGAGTGCGGCGGGTTAAGGAGAGCATGAGTCAGAGTCACAGGTTAGCAATGTCCAGGAGCACTCGGGCTTGCTCTAACGCCCTTGGAAGGGCTGATGGAGGAGACTTTGGGTTAAACCGGGCGGTGTTGGGATGGCTCACAGCATCAGGTCTCCAGATCAAAGCCATGTCAGGGCTCACTTGGTCCAAAACAGAGGAACTGTCTGGGTGTGCTTTCCCACTTGAAGGACTCTCCATCCTGGGCTGGAGGAGGACACCCATTGATGAAATGGATACCGAGGCTGAAGTTGTTGTCTGCAGGGTGTAGTGGAGCAAGGATCATCCTCCTTGAGTGTGTAGGAAAGGTAAATCCTGCCTCCATGGAAAGCAGAGCCTCTTCACAAGGCTGCCAAGACCAAGGAACAGTCTGTAGCCTCCTCCAGGACCTGTGACCTCCTCCAGGATCTACACCATCATGGGTCTTGCTCTTGGACAAGGTCTCCAAGTTGGGTTTTAGCAATCCCATGGCAGAACCATTCCTCCCTCCCAGGACAGAGGGACCCTGAGGTCTCTTCTCCCCATTGGAAGCATTCATCAGGGGGTGACATCCAGGTGGGACCTCACTGGGACCTGGTGTTGATGCACCTCTTCTTCACCCTTCTCTGACATAAAGCAGCATCCCAATTACCAAGACCCCGGTCACGCCTCCAGTGGGGTGAGATTGGTAACAGGATGGTGGGAATGGAGCTGGAAGGGAAACATCTGCATGGGAACATGCCAGAAGAGGATGAAAGTTGCAATGGGGACACTGGGGCCACCACTGGGCTGGGGACATGGAAAGGTGGGTCCTTCACACCTGGCCAGATGGGCTGCGTTCTGAGAGGGAATGGGGACGGGCATCAGAGGAGTCCCAGCCCATCCCATGGATGTTCCCAGCCTTCTCCCAGCCAGGGAACCCTGTGGGGATGCTGGTGGCCATCCTTACCGGTACGTGACAGCCTGCAGGGCCCGGCAGTAGCAGCTGGCCAGCCAGAGCGAGCGGTCCGTCAGCACATTGGGGCAGTGCGAGATGCGGAGGATGAGGAGGTTGCTGCCCGTTGCCTTCAGCAGAGATTCCAGCCCAGCTTCCAGGCAGCCCCTGGTGGGGATGGAGGCAGGGTCAGGCATGGACAACTGCACTCACACTCCCCACGGTCACCCTGGGGCCACCCCCAGAGGGTGACATGTCCCATGGGGATCCAGGACACCCAAAACCCACAGCGGGAGCTGGGGTGTGATGAATGGGCATCAGTGGAAATGGGATGTTGGCACTGGTGGAGCATCGTCATCCCTGAGGACGAGTGGCTCTGGCTGTGGGAGGAGGGTGCCCGGGACGCAGGGACTCACCGTGTGCTCTTCATGTAGTCCTCCTTGCTCTCCTTCTTCCCCCGCTGGCGTGGCTTGAGGTTTTGGAGGGTGAGGGAGTGCATCTGGGTGCACCACTGGGACAGCATGGCCAGGAACTGGGGGGACAGGGGTGGCCGTCACTGAGGGGGACACCCTGGGTGTGCCACACACCACCCACCTTTGGCTGTCTTGGGCAGATCTGTGCACACACCCCCAGCACACAAACATGTTCATGCCATAAATAGGGATTTAAATTGGAAGAGGGCAGATTTAGAAGAGATATTGGGAAGAAATATTTTCCTGTGCAGGGGTGAGGCAGGGGCCCAGGTTGCCCAGAGAAGCTGTGGATGCCCCATCCCTGGAGGGGTTCAAGGCCAGGCTGGATGAGGCTTTGGGCAACCTGGGCTAGTGGGAGGTGTCCCTGCCCATGGCAGGGGGTGGCACTGGATGGGCTTGAAGGTCCCTTTCCAACCCAAACCACTCTGTGATTCTATGATCCTATGTGAAAATGCACCTAGGAGGTCATGGAAGATTGTGTGCAGCAAGATCACACATAGAGTTATGGGTGTGACCACCAAAGCACATGAAAACACGCGCACATATGAAACTCACGCCAACATGCATGCATGTGTTGATGCACAACGCATCCAGTCGCTGGTGCAAGCACGCAGCCATGGTGCACCCACGTTCCTGTGAGCATAGCAGTGTGACAACCAACACCTTCACCTTTCTGCAAGAAAGGTCTCGCCCTGCGCAGTGCCATCCCCATCCCTGGTACCTTTGAGGACACCCGGGCGTTCTCCAGCAGCACCCGCGTCCACACGGCCGGGTGCCGGGCCACGAATTTCCAATCCTTGCACACCTCGGCCGCCCGCAGCAGGGTCTTGGTGTCCAGGTAAGTGAAGATGCAGAAGAGAGCCGCCCGCATCTTGAGGATCTCGGGGCTGATCACCTCGCTGGAGTGGCCTGGGCTGCCCCTCTCCAGCCGACCCGCCTTGCCCCCAGCCCCCTCAGTCCTAGCTGTGGGACACCAACCATCAGTTGCCACCAGTGGACGAAGAAGTGATGCTCCTCATGGAGCTGAGGAACCATCCCCATCCCTCACTTTCCAGCCTCCCCATCCTCCCACCCCACCAGCAGACCCCAGTGTGGTC